ATTTCAAGTAAGTAAACACGATTAATATTTTTAAATTGCAACAAAATAACTCAAATCATTATTCTTGGTTATTTAATAATAATTAATTTCGTTGAAATTTGAACATAAAATAACTATAAACAACCTGTATTTATATAATTTTTAGATTTTTAGTTGCAGAATTTATAACTTGTGAACTACTTTTTTTTAAATTGTTGTTCCTTATACATAGCTGCTTAGGTAAAGTAGAACATTTTATAAATATTTAACTACAAAATAATTTATACATTTTCAATTTGATACATTTTGGAAAAATTTGAACTTTAAATGCTTATAAAACAAAATTGTACCTATGTATTTTTAATATTTTTCATTTGATACTATAGTAATATATCAGGAGCCTTGTATTAAATGTTCAATTTTTTGGACCCAACAAATAAAATTTTTCTGACATTTTAACATTCATTGAAAAAAACTAAGTAAATTTAAAATGTCCATAAACAAATCAAACTGAGTCAAAATATTTTTTAAATTTTATCAAGTAGGTATATGAATTAATAAAATAAACATATGGTCTAAATTTCAAGTACCTACAGTGTTTCGTTTTTGAATTACAACAAAATTAAAAAATCGCTACATGAGAAATAGAGAATCCATGTTGTAAAATTTCAACTTCAAACACTCATCAAAATTTATTATGAATTCTGGTAGACATTTTTTTTTTTTTTTGATAAAGGTATAAAACTTATATGGAATCTTTTATTATATTTTTAAGTAGATTTTAAGAAATTAAAATTTCTATAGCTAAAGATTGAAAATTTGAATGATTAATAGTTCATACTTCAACCCAAAAATCTAAAATATATATAAGCTAAGTTATTTTTGTAGACTTTTTAAGTTCAAATTTGGAAGAAATTAGATATTAAACAACTAATGACAACTTTAGTTATTTTGTTATAATTTTAGAATGTCCTTTTTGGGTAATTGAAAGTAATTTTTAAAATATATCAAATGATATACCTATAATATCTTAATCCTTTACAATCTTCAAATGTTTAGTTAGATATAGGAATTTATCCAAAAATTATATTTTAACAGTGTTTTAAAATATACAATAAACCTTATCTTTTAGTTACTCCAAAAATTTCTGTATTTAAGTAGTGATTTGAGTACAATTTAAATGTAGAAATTAAAATAACCTAAGCTGTAATCATCATTTAATCAAAAGTTCAGTTGTTATACTTAAATTTATATATTTTAGATTCTGAGCAGGGCGATGAATGTTTGATTTTACAATGATATGTGTTTTTTTAATTTTCTTTTGTTACTGTCATAGTGTTTTAGGGAATCTAGTTGGTGCATTCGAAAGATAAAAATTTAAAATTCCCAATAGTTTCAAGAGCGTCAGGAAAAACAAACAAAATATTAAGGAAAAACGGGAACTTGTAATCAAGGACGGTTTTTGACAAAATAGTTTTTGGTTTTTGGTGTAACTCTAAAAAAAGATGTCTTAGATACATGAAATGTTCACGGAATGTTTATATTCGGGTTTTCTATACATAATTAATTTTTTTTAATATTTTGAGTGGTTTTAAATTATTAGGTATATGAAATTTTAATTATTACTTGTTTTTTTAAATTAACGTCGATAAAAAATGTTATAGCTCGGTTAAAAAACTTAAAAATATAATACAAGATTTCCCATAAGTTGCTGTTCAAGGAAATTAAAAAAAAACGAGTGTAAGTCAATAACAATTTTTTGTGAGTGTCTGAATTTCAAATTTTGACAATATTCGTAAAAATCACGAGAATTAGCAAATAATTTTGAGGTAGAAATTCATAAAAACTTTTCTTTTTATATAAATTAAATTTTATTGGTCGAGTCAAAAACCATGAACATTTAATACAAGACTCTTGATATATTGTTACAAATACTTACGATAGCAGTTAAATAATATTAAAAATTCATAGTCACGTTTTTCTTTTACAATCATTTAAAATACATATTTTGGAAATTGAAAAATGATTTACCAGTTAAAAATGTATTAAATGTTCAACTGTTACAGCTTAGGATTGAAAGTTTGAAACACGATTCTACGTAAGTAGTTTATTCTGTAGCATTGTGCAAACGGACCTTCCTCTGCTGTCGGTTCTATCCAAAAAAAAGTATTTATTTTGTGACTAAAAAATCTAAAAATAAACATAAGCACAGCTTTTTTATAGTTATTTTAAGTTTAAATTTAAGTTCAGGCGAAATTACATATTTACATAAATAACAAAAATTGTAGTCATTTTTTAATTATTATATCATTGAATTCAAATTTTAATACCTTCCATTACAGCAATTGTGGCCAAATTTTATTTAAATATTATTATTATTATTTTTGATTATTAAATACATTGGTATCGACATCTAGGCCATTAGTGAAAGAATTTTGTGTTAGATTAGGTGTTATTTACTATTATTATATATTTATATGATGTACTTACAGTTAAATTAATAAACTTCAATTTTAAAGTATCTACTCACTTAGATAAGTAAGTTGAGACAATTATTAAATGTTTAGGTAGTTGTTCTAATATTTTATTGGTAGATATTAATATGAATATTTATATATTTTTCTGAATAAAAATGTTTAGTATTATTAAAGAGTATTATTTTTATTTTGAGCACATTTAATAAATTATGAATATTGGTTAAAATACAAAACTATTATAATTTTAAAATATTTATGTATTTAGTTATAAATAGTATCCTTATTATATTTTCATTAGGTACCTAGGTGCTTGTACTAGTTATACGGAATTTTGTTATTATTGCCTATACAAAGAGTAGATGCACATATTCCAATTCTGATGTTGTTGTAATTATTTAATAAAAGTAAAAATATTTTTCAATTAAAAAAAAAACATCTTCATCTTTTGTAATTAATTATTAATTTGTTATTTATCTATATATTAATATATTGTATCCAAATATAACGGTATACTGTAACTATACCTACTATTAGTATCAGTGGCAGATACCGGTTTGAATTTTGTAGGCGAAGCTCTTAAAAAAATTACTTCTAAGACATACATACAATATATATTATAATGTTCTAATTTATGTGTTTCTAAAAATATTAAAGAAATGGTTATGAAAGGAATGTTATTAATTGTATTATGGTTGGATTATGAATCATTTATGTTAATTAGGTACATTTAATAACTAATAATTATACAATAATACATTATTATTATTTTATTTTAAAATAACTTTTGAATGGATATTTGCTATTTGGCTTATTAATAACTAATTCATAATAATTGATCCATGTGCAGAATACAAAATACCTATTAAATAAGCAATGATCAACAAAATGCATTTCTAAAATGACAGGGCATAATTTGCCATAGGATTAGGTATTTCTTTTTTTTATTTCAACCCGATTATTATTTTAGTTGATTTATATTATTACTTACCTATGTAAGGCTAAGGTTAATACAATTAATTGCTATACTAATCAGCTCTATGGTTTCTGAAATGAACAAAATTGTTGTTAAATTAAATTTATGGTTTATGACCTAATATTTCTTCATGGGTAATTTGGAATTTATATTTAAATATGCTTTATATTCAAGCTAAAAACAAACTTTTATTTCCAGCAGAACCAAATATTATGTATTTTATATTAAAAGAATACCAAAGAAGGATTAAATAGGAACAAATAGTTGAATGCTATACAAATTAAATCAAATAAAAAAAAGTACAAGAAAAAATATTTTTCAATACTTTGTAAGAAGGGTGTCGACATTGCTTCATAAAATTGTATTAGTAAAAATAATCAAAATATTTAAAATAAATGTGTAGGTACTTTTATCAATTAAATTTAAAAGTATGCATTTTTTTTGATTTAATATGTTACAAACTCAAAAGTATTTATTAATATTATATGGAAATATAAAATTGTAAATAATGAAGAAAAATTAATACTAGTGTAGTAGTTTTTATTAATAATTTTATAAAAGTATGGATGTTCAAGTGTAATATGCCAAATGTAAATTTTAACATTGTTCATCAATATTTTTAAAAGGTTTGATTAATTATTCCATCAATATTTATAACTTTGTTAATAATACATTATAAAATGATGATACAATAATACTAGTATATTTCCATAATTCTTAATAATAAATTGATGGCTAAGAGGCAGAAAGTAGTGCACTACATTTTACAGGTCACCAGATTTTAAATTAATTTTAAACAAAAAATGTTGTAGATTTTTGTTTTTCGGTGTTAAAGCTGATTTATTAGTAAAATATTCTGTGATTACAAAAATTATTACTTTGTCTTAATATTTTTTTTCAAAATAATTTTATGTCTTTTCTAAATTTAAATGTGATTTGTTCATCGGTGGAAATCGGGTGGCTTAAGGTGCTAAGTCCTCCAAAAGTCCAATACCTGTTGTGAAAAGGCAAGCCCCCTACGGTTAAGTTCTTTTGAAAAATAATAGCACCCCCCCCCCCTCCCAAAATATTTTCAATGGACTTCTGACTATAGACTTGCAATTATTAAACTATTTTAATATTATTTTTTCATTTAAGATTTTAGGCAAATAAAACCCTGTTCTTGAATGTTTTTTCATAACTAATTAAAAAATATGAATATATATCATACATAATCATAATAATAATTTGTATTCAATATAATTTATAATAATAAATAAATATACAGATGAATTATAATTGATTAGAATAACCTTCCAAATATATTAATTTCTTATAAATAGTTTAACAAAACCAATATTATCAAAAACAGTAAAACGTAATAAGTCCAAAATTTAATATTGTTTTTGATAAAAGTAACAAGTTCAGACTTGATTTATATAATGTAATATAATATATAATATATTTTAGATAACGATAACTGATAAGATATGTATCATAGGTCTCATTAATTTATAAATTGTTATGTGTGCACTAAAAACATAACAAAAGTATCAATAAAACATGATTTAGTTACGATATTGACTATGTTAATTTTTTGTCGAATGAAAAGACAACCCAAATTAACCCAAGGGACTTAAAAAATGATTTTGAGAAAAATTGGATACATAACTTTTGGTCTCTTAGCCATCTTTTATTAAAACGTATTTATTATTAATACCTAGTATACTAGTACATATACTACCATAACAGCTCTTAAGCTTTCAATATAATAAATAGTTAAATTATTAAATTTTTAAAAACTACAACATTAAATAGTCAAATCTATTAATATCTTGGAATCACCCTATCACTCCTCTTGTACCCACCAGTTATGTGGTACTATCCAACAAATATAAATATAGAATTATAACATTGTAAGAATAAATTTATCATAATCATGCGTCGGGCAGGGTCGTGACATCTTTTGACATGTTTGGCTGCTCCAGTTGTGTGTGCTTTATTCGCCGGTGTTTCTTCAGAGTACCGCTATCACTGAACGACTTTTCACAACCGTCGCACAAGTAAGGTTTCTCACCCGTGTGCGTCCGCTTGTGCTTCGTTAGACCACTGCTATCAGCAAATGATTTATCACACACATCGCATAAATAAGGTTTCTCACCCGTATGTATCCGGCGGTGCTTCGTCAGATTGCCGTTAATAGCGAACGACTTGTCGCATACGTCACATAAATAGGGTTTTTCACCCGTGTGCGTCCTCCGATGTTTTGTCAGGCTACCACTATCAGCAAACGATTTGTCGCACACTTCACAAGGGTATGGTTTTTCGCCGGTGTGCGTCCTGCGGTGCTTAGTCAAACTGGCGCTAACAGCGAACGACTGATCGCAAATGTCACAGGGGTACGGTCTTTCGCCAGTATGCGTCCGCCGGTGCTTCGTAAGATTGCTGCTTTGAGCGAACGACATTTCACACTCGTCACAGGGGTATGGTTTTTCGCCCGTGTGGGTCCGGCGGTGCTTTGTAAGAAAATCGTTATCCGTGAATGACTTAAAGCACACATCGCACGGGAACGGTTTATCAGTTATGTGTGTACGTCGGTGTTTTGTCAGATGACTGCTTTGAGAATAGGACTTGTCACAAACATCACAAGAGTACGGCTTCTCGCCGGTGTGCGACCGCCGGTGCTTCGTCAGGCTGCTACTATCAGCGTATGACTTTTCACACATGTTGCAAGGGTATGGTCTTTCACCCGTGTGCCACCGCCAGTGTTTCGTCAGCCCATCACTATCAGCAAACGATTTGTCACACACGCCACACGGGTAAGGTTTCTCACCTGTGTGAGTTCGCCGGTGTCTGGTTAGATGACTGTTATCGGCGAACGCCTTGTCACACATGTCACACGGGAATGGTTTATCGCCCATGTGTGACCGCCGGTGCTTGTTCAGATGGCTGATTTGAGCAAAAGACATGTCGCAAAATTCACAAGTGTGCGGTTTTTCGACCAAATGGTTCCGTCGGTGCTTCATCAGCTGACTGTTGTCAGCAAACGACTTGTCGCAAATATCACATGGGTATGGTTCCACGACTGTGTGTGTTCGTCGATGCTTAGTCAAATGGCCACTTTGAGTGAATGACATGTTGCAAATGTTGCATGCGAACGGTTCATCGCCGTCAAGCGTCTCCGAGCTACCCGGAAGATCGATTGTTTTGGTGTCATTCATGCTGCCCTCAAAGGACGTCACACGTATTTTCTCGGCTTCTGCAAAATAATACACCAATAAAAGTTTAACAGTACTTTACTTTGCTAATCATGTTTGTATTATGTAAATATATACCAGATCGTATTTATTTTTCGTACAATAATGTGGTAACAAAATACTGTAGGCACTTATTACGCGTGTGAGAAGACAGTAATTTGGAGTTTGTTGATTCATCAGGGTTTCACAGCCAGTATTTTTCATATTTCTGTTAAAAGTCATAAAGAATTAATAAGACTTATATTATATCTATGGAGCTGTTGAGTATGGTATTACAATTGTAGGGTTCGTTATGTTTGTATAGCTTTTGTATGAAGAAAGGAACTGGTCTATAACAGAACACTGTAATTGTTTAAATGGATTGTAGTTCGATTTTGATACACCTTAAATACAAATACACTAAGATGGTATCAACTATATTAGATTTAATTATTTGGATACTGTGCATTCGTACTTTTGTAAGTCGATGTCAAAACTAAATATACAGTAAACAACTAAAAGTAGTGAGTGGTCGAACAATGACTGAGTCACATTCGTTTTTTATTGCTTTTATAAACCAGTGTACTATAGAACTATAAATTATTCTATGACCACTGACCAGCACACATAAATCTGATGAAAATGGATAGGGCATAGGCGATCAAGTGATTCCAATTGAGGCCAAATAAGTATACCTATATTATTGAATATCGACTATCAATGTATAATCTATATTATAAAAGTGTCATACAAAAATGTAAGCAAACAGCCTCCAGTTCAGTACCGCAAAAACACATTAGCCTTAGCCACAATTACAAATTCCCTTTTGGTGTTTATAAGATATTGTACTCCAATACGTCAGTGCAACAGTACAATTAATACTAGTTAGTAATACATCAACAATGTCATATTATTAGTATAAATTAAAATTAAGTTCGTTGAATTCGTTTTAGTATTTATAGTACATATTTGGTAGTGTGTAACATTTTTATGCGCATTCTTCATTGAAGCATAATATTTGACGACAATCGGTAAAATAATTTTGGACTATTGAATTCTAAATAACGGAGAGAGAATAAGAGGGATAGATCCTTTCATGTCCTCTTTTTCAATATTTATAATAACTTATACATAGGTATCAAACAGTAACTATAAATTATATTATTAATTAACAAATAGTGGTATGTATATAACAGGTATTATGAGCCAAAATTTACAAGGTGAAAATTCGAATAAATACAAGAAAAGATTGGAAAGCATTTTTTGTTAAATGATTTTAAAGAAGAAAAAATTTTTTTTTAACAATATCTTCTCAAGATTGTAGAATATATTATATGAAGTGAAAATTTTGGAAATAGCACAAAATAAAAGTTAGGAACATTTTTATATAATTAATATTGTTAAACTTATTTTTGATTAAAAATGTATAGAAATAGTATCATTTACAATTTTAAACTTAAAGACAGAGTGAACAAAGAAATAGATAAACTTGTGAGTAAGTCTTAAAACAAAGTTGAGTAAATGCCAAATGGGCTAGTCGCATAGTGAATCATACTAAAAAATAATGCTAGTATTTGAATAGATAAGTGTTGATTATAAAGTAACAATTAATATAAGTATACTATTATTTTTATTTACCATAAGATAAAAAAATAATTATGTTTATGAAGCTTATGAAACTCAGTATAATCATTTACCAAATGTTGAGGATTTGTTTGTAAGTACATGCAGTTTTCTGTGCTAGATTTTTCAGGAGCACATCAACAACTAGAGTCATCATAACATTCTAAAGATTATTTGATAATGAAATAAACATTATAAGTTTTGTTTAGATACAATGTTACAGTAGCAAGTGTATCAACTATTTTTAAATGCAATACAAATCAGATATTGTTAAGATAAGAAAATTTATTTTGTTACTTCAATGGGTGAAAAAATGTAAAAAAAGTAGGTGTCAAAATTTAACAGATGGAAAGACAACAATCATTAAATATTTATGGAATAAATAGTGAGTTAATGGTCCTGTAAACATGATGTAGTGGTCCATGATTTGTCAGTTAAATTGTATTGGACCATTAAACTAATTAATTTTTCTTTCAACCCACCATAAATTAGTTAAATGTATGTATTAATCTAGATGAATGTACATTTTTTTGAAAAGGAAGAAAATTATTTAGGACTGACGTTACAACAGAAAAATAATTTTAACATTAACACTAAAAAATATATGTTAACAGCATACTAGAAACACATTACAAAACAATTACTATATACTATAATCAATATTAAATACTACAAATTGTTATTATCATATTGATATGATGGTATCTGTACACAATAAAAGAAATTAAGAGCCTAAAGGCAGTTGGAGAAGTTAGAACACCAAATAACTTAACAAAATTACAAGCTAATTAAAGGTTATAAATATATTCCTAATAGGTATCAGTTAAATTACATATTGTGTTTTTTACATTTCCCAATAAATTATAAAGAAAGATTTTTGGTTTCATTGGAGTAAGAGGTACCAGGTAGTCTGAGAAAAAAATAAAATGCTTATTGATAAAAATTCAATATGTAGAGATTTATGATCTAAAAAATAATATAACTGTGTGTATAAAATACACATCTCATGTATTTTTTAATCAGAATAAAAAGTTTAAAAGTCTATTTTTTGTTACTTTTCAATGTAAAGGCAATTTATTTAGTTTTTTTAAAGCATTTTAGGGTTTTTAGGGTACTTACCACTAAAATCTGTGTTTTTAATTTAATTTTAAGGTTTTACTTAAAAAGGTAATTTGGTACAGTGCTATCAAGGTTTATATCTAATTAAATATTATTAATTGTATATTTTCAAATGAATCTATACTAAGTAAAAACCAATAAAGAAAATTAAATAAGATTCTTCTTTCTAAGAATTCTTTATCCGGATTTAAAGTATACATAGAAAACTTGAAATTGCGCAGTCCAACAAAATTTTTTTTTAAATTAAATAAAAATATTTTTAGATTCAAAACTTATTAGAAATAAAAAAACTAAATGCATTTTAAAAAGCGATTTTTTTGAATTTTTGGGTTTTTAAAGAACATGTCAATTCTTTTAATTATTAGGGCATGGGAGAAATTTTGGCTCAAATGGTTATTGGGGAAGAAAAATCAGTTTCATTTGCATAGCTTGCAGATCAAAAATATTTTCAGTTGCAAAGAAAAGCATGAGCTATAATATTTAAAGTTAAAAAGTACCATAAACATATATATGGAAATAGATTCAGCTTATGTTCAGTCATAAGGTCATAAGATGCTCAAGCTTCTAGAGAAAAATTTAGTTGACAAAAATAACAGTGGTATTAGCAGCATCAAAGCTTCAGGGATGGGAAATGTTGTTGTATACTTATATATATTATACATTTATGAATAATTAGTATAAGTTAGGGAGCAAATGGTAGATGTTGATTTGTTAAGTAGATTATCATTGACTAAAGACATAAAAACGGATTATATTAGCAGGTCAAGTACAGCTCAATTGATTTAAATACTTCAGATGTAGTAGAGCTATTATAAAAAGATAAAACATTATTTTGAGTAGGTGTATAATTATGTATTAAAACAATGATCTAAAAAAATTAGAGGATGAAGTCGCTTATTATTTTAAGCTAAACAATAAACTGGGTACTCCAGATAATCCTTTAATTTTTTTTATGAATGAATTATAATAATAAGAGGTATTAAAATATAGAATTTGAAAAATGTTACACAAGGATTATGAAAAATAAAAATAAAAATGGCAGCAAGAAGTATATTTTGGTGAAAAAGTAAAGCAATAAACACGTTCAGGGAAACCTCGCTTTTTTATTATTTATGTATCTACCTCAGAAATCACCTTTTTATTATTGCTATAGCAATAGCATTATGTTTGGAATAATACTATTGTATGATATTATTACGCGCTAAATGTATGAATATAAATAATGGGTCAGTCTTATCTCCAGACTCATCTAATACCATTACAAATAGTACTGCATGAGCAGCAATGCCTGATTTTGTTGGTTTTGTAAATTACTGCTATAGCAGTAATAAAACATTACATCAGAATTGGAAAATTTGAAATTACTGCTCTAGCAGTAACTGACCGCGAACTTATTAAGTAAAAATAGGTATAATAAGTAATCATACCTATACTCCGTTCCAAAAGAGAATATACCAGTTCTGCACACTGTTTCCCCTTCCATCGGTCATTACCTATGCTGTTATGTGGGAGATGTGCACTGCTGGACGGAAACCGGTCACCACCTGGTATAAAAATAATAACAATTTTTGCATAAGTAAAAAGAAAATCAAGCCATAAGGCATAAAGTATTTTTTTAAATATAAATCATCTTAAAAGGACGCCACACCCACACGTCTTATCTCCATCTTTCAAAAGTACAACATACCAAATGTATGTTAAGCAGAACAAATTTTGTGTAGTTAACTTTTATATTAAAGTGAATGCATCCTATCATACAATTTAACCTGAGGCAATAATCAGTAAAGTTAAAAAAACGAAATTGGTTTTGTTTTACAGAAATTTACATAAGACATCAATAAGTGTGACATCCACTTGAGCATTATCTCAAATAAAAATAAAAATTTGATACCTATCATAAGTGGTGTAATGTTATTTACTGCAAGTAGACATTTGACATCCATGTACAAATGACAGCTAATTTTTTTTCATTTCATACTTGTTTTAATATAAAGATTTTATTACATACTGAATTCAGACATTAGAATTTACTATTTATTACTAGTTAGTAAAATACTAGTAAGATAAGAATAATAATAAAAATAAGACATTTATGTTACAATATAAACTGTACATTTAACTATACAAAAATACTATTGGCATACAATAATCTGTACTGTAAAACTATTTGTCGTACCACCAACGAAATCGTAGACTTATTATGTCCCATTGTTACTAATGATTTTTATCAATAACAGTAGTCTGTCATGTAGACTAAACAAATTATGGAGCTATATGTACATTTTAGTCAAAATTGAGTTGGAATACAGCATTTTTTGAACACATTTCTTCCATCGTGGTTCTGTTGTAGATATTTAAATATTTTTTTAATCTTGTCCCAAAGTGTTACAAAATATATTCTAACATTTTTATTGTAATCATTATTGCAATTTCTCTTTAAAGCTACTAGTATTAAATTTTAATGTACTTATTAAGAATTAATTGTGATTCACGCTCACTGTAACGGTGGCTGTACAATTCTTCTGTCTTGGCTGTGTTGCTGCGGAAACTGTAAAATACAGTTGGATACAATATTAAACTCTACTGTCGCTACTGTAACTGTGTGTTACTGCTCTACTGTAACTCTACCTTTAATATTAAAATTAGTATGAAATTTAAAATTGTAAGTTATAATTGTGCCAAAGGTCCACTTAAAGACTGCAGTGAATACTATCAGGTGTCAAATGCCCTAGTTTCATCTCAAATAGTTTTTAACAAAAATAAATAAATATTTGTTAGTAATATACCTGAATGGTTGGAACAGAGTAGTACATAAGAACCATTTAAGGTATCCAAGAGACACAAAAAAAAGAAAATCATAGAAATGTGAGCATAGTGGTACGTCGTTCAGAACAAATTAAAAAAATTCCTTTAATATTTGGTTATGATGATTAAAATGTATTGATCATTAAATGTAATTAATTATTTATTAAACGTCATTTATTGTTCTGTAACATCACGTTTTGTTTTTTGAAAATGTTAAAACATTTTAAAAAGAAGATAATGTAGTGATTATATTAATGATAGTGTATTATCAGTATCACTACATCGTGATCAGTCGTGAATCGTGCTATTATTGATAGCCACGATTATATATATATATATTATACTATCTATAATCGTGTTGATAGCTAATACCTTTATGTATAACCTGGAGGTAAATAAGTGATAACTGGTAGTATAAACGGTCATAAGATACTAAGTTTCCACACTTCTTCAAAACACAAAATGTACCAATACACTTGTAACTTGTCAGTTGTAAGAAGTAAGTAGTAATATACTAACATATTGTTATTACATATTAGTATAAATAACCAATACTCGAATTGTGAAATATTAAGTAGGGAGCACAATCCAACAATTTAAAAACTGACAAAATTATTTATCTAACAAATACCCGAGGGGAGCTTTGTTTTTATTCCTACATTTCAGCTTAGTTATATCATTTTAGCTTTATTATATCCCAAATATATTATGTAACTATATTGTAACATAATATTGCAAGTTTACAATGATTTGTGATTTTTTTTGGGGTCTTCGCCTTTTGGACAATGGTAATGTGTCTATTTTCTTCAACTTTCTAGTTGGTACTTTGAGGGGTCAAAGGAAAATTGTCCAATAGTTTTCAAAAGCTGCAGAAAAAAACAAACAAAAACATAAGGAAAAATTGAAATTTATACTTAAAACCAGTTTTTAGAAAAATCAACTATGTTTTTTAGTGTAACTCTAAAAAAAATAACTGCATACTGATAAAATGTACACTGAATGCTTACAAAAGTAATTTCGGAGCACCGTAATATTTTTTGTAATATTGAGACTCTTTTTGAGCTATTTATAGACATAAGATAAATTCGCGTTTCATTAGTTTTTTTAAATTATAGTCGATACAACATTTTTTGCTCGTTCAAAAAAACTTGAAAATGCAATACAATATTCCTCAGAAGTTGTTGTCAGTGAAAATTTAAAAAAAAGTTGAGCTTCATCACGTAAAAACCGTAAAAAAATCATTTTTTATGAGCGTCGGCTAAAGCTAAAATGTTCACAAATTGTATCAAAATCACGAAAATTAGCAAATTATTTCGAATCAGAAATTCATAAAAAATGTTCTATTTATAAATAACATTTGCGAATTGATTATAACTTTCGATTCACAAACTAACAATTTTTCATACAACGATTTTCATATTTTGTTGTTTATTAATAACTATTAACCGTAGATACTGGAAAATGTCATAAAATGTTTATTTTATCTTTTTCTATAGGTACCTACATGATAAATTTGGCTAAAATGAATTTAAACTTCTATAGTACTAATGCCTAATAGTAAAATAAATTACTTTAATCACTATTATATCATCAAATATACTAAAAAACTAAGTTATATTATAGGCTAGCAGACTATACTTAGAATCAGTTTTCGTATTTAATAATTGTATATCAATGAATTCAAGTTAAACATACCCATTACAGTGACACACTAATATACAGCAGAGCGTCACCCGTTTACCCGATTTTTAAAATTTATTATAGGCTCTTTTATGTTCCATTTTTATACAACTTAATCCATGCCAAACCACACATAAAAGTGAGTAACTGATAAAATAATGCAACTTTTCAAACAATCGAATTAAAAATCAACCAATATTATTACTACTAAATATAATTTACTTACCTATACACAAAGTCCATGGGGGATATATCTCTTCCCCCTGACCACACTACTTGGAAAGTTACACATTATCAAATAACAAGTAGTTAATACTTAATAGAACAATATTGGTATGTCTATATATACGTAAACATTTATAAAACTTGTAAGAATATGTCATATGTTGAAACGTGATACACATAAAAAATTAATTATTAAAACAAATATATTATTTGAGTGATTTGGCCGGTTTGAGTTAACCGGGGTCGTTTCAGATTCGAACGTTATCGACAAGGACATGACCTAAATACACGAATAAATATCAATATTCAATTTATATGATATACATTATATCTATGTAACCGATATATATAGGTACCTACTATATCCACCTAAGTATTTTATTCGCATAATCCGAAACTTGGAAAATGTTGTGTGTAATTTTCTATAGGCATTGGCGATTAGCCTTATACCCTAAATATTCTAAAAATATCTATAATACACAATGTAAATAGAACTACCTATAGAAGTGTTAAAAGTATTCGGTACACGATATCGTTAAAAATGATTAATTTAAGGAAATTACTTATTAGAATTATAGTTGAGTTAAATTTATTAAAATGAAGAACGCGAGCTTAAAGTTTGAAGTTAAGAAACAATGTACAATTAGGTAATTAATGGTATAAAAAAGTTAATACAAAATACATACGCATATAATATGCCATAGGTGTATAGGAAATAGGTTTATAGCTATTACCTTATTGTGATAATAGAACAAATTATTCTTAACATAATTATATATTTAGGTATGTATAGGTACCGTTTTTAAGTAAATGACAACTGAATCAGTTGATGACAAACAAAACAAATTAATTCAAACAAATATTTTAAGCCTGGATAGTTTTAATAAATTATAAGTCAAACTTGTAAGACACGTAACTATTGTAAAGGTACAGTCTATTAAAAAAATTAACTTTGTAATTAGTTAACGCCCGTCGCCCATTGCTCACTGACCACTGTTGAATATTTTAAAAATCGAGTATAATATTATAATATACCTGTCAGCTGTCGGTACGTAAAATAAGAACGGTTTTCTGAGCAACGTCGAAATTTAACACAGGATTGAATTTAAAACCGATAGCCAACGAATCAGCCGCATTGCAGCAGAAGGTCTGTACTGTGTGTATACAGTAGTTATTATAGCTACTAGGTAAAATAATATATAATAAATAATAACGGACACGTAGAAGCATTATTCCGCAAAATGTGCGTACGGTAATTTTATTTTTTTTTCTTGGCACCGCACATAATTTCGGCACAGATTGTACACGAGTATTGAAATATTTAATGTATTATTATACACACGTCTTTCGAAATATTTTACACGCAATCGCCACCGAGTGTACGCCGCCGTCGTTTAGACACGTATTTTGTATATGCACACACTCACACACGCTGCACGTGGCTCGCCTAGCGCCTACCTGTATATATACACATAAAAACATAATAATAATATATATATTTTATCACATCATATTTATTTTAATATAAAATGTAATAATAATAGTAAGGGACAGTGGCCGGGCTTATTGTATATAATATTAGGTACGCATATTGAAAAAATATAAGACAGCTGAACGAAAATCAATTTTATATTTTCCCCTTAACGTACATTTTTGTGCTTACTCTAAAGGACGCGTGTAGAGCCGGGGGAGAAAAAAGAGGATTCCTTACCAGATTCGTTCTTTTCTATATCCGATCGCATCCACCCCCCTCCCAATATATATATATATATATATATATGTATATACTAGTTAACCGGACTACCGCCACATACAAACGAAAACCGTCGTCGCCCGTCCGCGATAACTTCGTGTGCATGCGCATTTGTGTGTGTGTGTGTGTGTGTGTGTGTGTGTGTGTGTGTGTGAGTGCTTCAGGAAACTGCTGTTGCTGCTACTGCTGCTGCAGCAGAGACTGTCGCCTCTCCTCAGTGGACCGTGTCATCTATAAAGCTTTGGTGCGTCCACCGCAAGTCATTACATCCGCCAGACCGGAACTAGGATTTTTACCCGCCCAGCATCATGCGACCGGAACTTCCGGGATTTCGTCCATCGGATCCTTTTTATTGACCTTTTTGTTGACCCGATCCATAAAAACGTCCATGTCATTTTCGTTTGAATCCACCCGAAATGTATGTGTGAAATATCTAAATATAATGTGTATAATATTTACGTATAACGCGTTTTGTGAAATGTATATACTTCATAAAAGGTTGTTCAAAGTGTATGGCCTATACTATTTCAGCCGCTAATAAATATTTATGATTATTTTTATTTCATAGGTACCTATTGATTGTTTTACTGTTTAAAAGTATTTTTCAAAATAGAACCTCATATTTAACTTGGTGTGGACTCGGAATGTTACGTATCTACAACTCTTTCTTTTTTAATGGCAACTGTACTATTATTTTCATATTCTTATAGAGATAGAAAAGTAGCTGTATAATATAGCAGTTTCAATATAAATTTATATCACATACCTTTTTGAAGTATGATAATTTTAATCAAACATATTAGTTGAATTAAAATAAGAAATTTGTCATGTATTCAAAATTTTAAGCTTAATTAAAAACTGTAATCGGACAAACAGTATTTGCATTTTGATTTTCTTCAAAAAACATTTTTAAATTGAGGGTTGATTATATTGCAGTATAACCTTGGTTAAATTTGCACTTGTAAACTCCATACTCTATGGTAGCGGGTAGGTGT